TATATATATATATATATATATATGTATATTATTATTACAGTGGATTCAAACAAACATCTGGCTCATTCAATCAAGTTTTTAGAGCTAAAATACTTAATACAAAATATTATATTATTTTACAAGATATTGACACAGAAGCAGATCAGTTTGTTTTTATTTTATTTATTCATTCATTCATTCATTCATTTTATTTAATTTAATTTTGCTTAATTTATTATTAAACTGCACATCTCAGTGTTGTTATTCCTGTAGCTTATAAAAGACATGACACTAACTACATCAAGGTCATGGGTTCGTTTCCCATAAAAAAAATACTTTGAATGCAATGCAAATCGCTTTGCCAAAATGCATAAATGTTCACGCAAATGTTCAGCATTGAATAAGCGTACTGCATACTGTGCAATATATACTGTATTTTTGAATAGCAATGCGGTGCAATAGCAATGCAATAACAACAGTACAACTTACAAATACAAACATTTAAAGGTGCTGTATGTAGGATTGACACCGAGTGGTTGAGCTAGGTATTGCAGTCCAAATTCAAAATATTGGAAAGGGTTTTTTTTACCCGGCCCCTCCTCCTCAGACCTGACGACACCAACAGGAACAAGCGCACTTGACGATGAATGAAATGAAATACGTTGTGTTTTCTGCCAACTGGCAATTGGCAAATACAATTGGCTAAACTGACATTGGGCGGGTTTCACAAACCAAAACAAAGACCGACATTCTGGCCCGGAACGCACATTTTCAAAGGAGAATAACTGACTGTAGCATTGTTTTTCAGATAAACAAGTATGTTAACTTAGCATGTTTCTTAAATATCTGCAAACATATTATGGTATTTTTATGCTTTAGTAGAGTCAAAAACTTACATACAGCACATTTGTCACTGAAAATGGTCGGTGCACACCATTTGTGTTAAGACAACTTACATAAAATCTGATTGAAAAATAATCACAATGATAACTGGAGTGTGTCTGCTGAATTACACATGCAACATAGGGAAGTTGTTACACTGATTCACATGCTATTTTAATAATAGCATGCAGTGAGCAGTATATGCTTTGCAGTAAGCTGTCCGTCAGTAATTATCACACAAACGTTCACTCAGATTTTCTGTCTCCCACTTTTGCACTGACAGCTCAAACTGAACGACTCGTTGTTCAGATGTTTGTCAGATATCAATGATCTGTGTGGAAAACATCGGAGAACAAAGGATGTCAAGCGAACACGTAGCAGATGGATAACTCGTGCAAACATGCCGTCAAAAGTGGCATTTCCACACGCTCTAAACATCCTGAATGCTAAACCTTCCAGCTCATTCTTCTGTCTTGACTCTGAGTTTAGTCATATTCAGTGGTATTTATCCGTCTCCAGTCCGTCAAGCTGTGAGCGAGAAATCTCTCTTCTGTTTATGCATCAGCAACTTATTCATAAAGTTATTAATTCCTCCACTTCTGGGTTTGTTAGATAAGACGTGGACCAGATATGTTGTTTTGAACTGTGGAGCATGTGAAATTCTCTTTAGAAAACTGATTTCTGATTAAATTTATAGTACAACACACATTCTATTAATGCTTCAAGTTCACGCATGTTTTTCTCTTGTTTTCAAGTAAAAGTATCTAAACAAGAAATTGGGACTTTTCCGAAAATATATCTTGAATTATATATATATTTTTCTTGTTTTAAACCTAAAAATCTTTGTTTTGTATGGAAGCACATATTTTGCCATGGAAAAACATTTTTTATTGTGACTTTTTATCTCACAATTCAGACTTTTTCTCAAATTGTGAAATAAACTTTCTCGCAATTCAGTTTTTTATTCTGCCAAAAATTAAAACGGTAATTGCAACTTTACTTCACAATTCTGACTTTTTCTTGCAATTGCAAGTTTATATCTTGTAATTCTGAGTTTATATCTCGCAATTTTGAGAACATGCATATAAATATAAATGCAGAATTATGAGTTAAAAAAATTACAAATTTTATCCCGTGGCAGAAACAACATAGTTTTGCATTACTTTTATGCTTAAAAGATAGCTTATGTCTTAATATATTATGCAAATGAGCTTTTCTTGTATTAAGAGATAATTATACCAAATATGAATTAATACATTTTATTATTTATTGTTCTAATGCATTACACTTCTTTTAGCTTATTGCTTTACTCTGATATCATATATATATATATATATATATATATATATATATATATATATATATATATATATATATATACAGAGCGTTTCCACAGACCTCGTGGTTTAACGTTTTAAACTACATTTAAACTCTCTCATTTATCATTGACCCCATTATCTAAATAGAATTTTTACCACCAGCCGTCGTGCTATACTTCATACAATATTTACAGTATATCATCCTTTCAACATTACACCTTCTTGAAGATACCTTCAGCCACCCTTGAAGATCAACCACATGCTGTACTTAACCACTTAAAGCTGGCCCATCCTCGGTTATTAGGCTTAACGGTGTTTACGAGTGCTTAAGAAGCTGCCTTAATGAGTCTCATGAGTTACTGTAAGACATTAGGACTGAGCGGCTCCATTAGGGTCCTGGTGCAGCTACCAGAGTGGCAGTCAAGTGGTTTATGTGGGCTCCAGCTGTGTGCAGTAATTGCTAGAGGTTGTGCATTCTTTCTCTGCCCTCACTTTCATCCCGGAGGTCTGGAAGCCCACAACACGACTCTTAATTGTGTGTCATAATAACCAGCGAATTAAAAGGCAATGTAAACATGTGGTGATTCCGTCAAAGGGAGATGGTAACGTGTTAAAGTAACGCATTTGTCATCTAACCGTTAATGCTCAGGATTTAACGTTGTGATGGGGGGGCCCAGTTTTCTGTAATGATTTTGGCCTGTCCAAAAGTCCTCTTTGAAAAACAAATTGGTACTTCAGAAGTATTACAGATCCGTTGCTGACTATCTAGAAGCAGATTACACAAATAGCTTGAGGTGTTCCTGATACGCGGCTGCAATTGGCAGTCCATCTTTTGGCCCCGCAACACTTCAAGTTCTCCATGTGAGGTCACCCCAGCTCCCCCCTCACAAACGGCCCTGCCTCCAGCCCCCCTCCCCCTTATCTGAGCCTGTGGAGCCCTGGAGAGGAGGAGCAGGGCACCGGGTCAAAGTCTTTTCCTCTTTGGATCTCGAGGCTTGCTGGGAGAGGCTTGGCGAGAGAATGGCTGCATTAGAGTAGGGGTTGGGGGTCAAGATTTTAATTCTGTTAAAGAACAGCTGGTTTGAGTTTCTCTTCACGTCGCTCTCCCCTCCCTCTCCCCACAAATCCAGAGAGATGAAAAATTTGTTCAGAGGGGAACCAGTAAAATAAAAAAGGTTTACAGTCTAAAGCGCTTACCCCTACCCTGCTGTAGCATTAGACAGGAATGCAAGAACGTCAGCATTTGGCCAGGTTCAGATTGAGTTAAAACAAGGAAGTGCTTTTTGTATTTTTGTGTCTTAGCAGCTTGTTGAAACTTAATTAAAAGGCTTAAAGTTCTGGAAAGGAAATTCAAAAGAATGGCTAAAAGGAAATACCCCCTTCTAAAATTCAACTACCGAGTAAATTGTTAGATTAAACTTGAAATATGAATGGAGGTTTAACAGAACAACTGGCAATTTCAACCCATTTTCTTTTTACTTCATTGGATGGGGTTTAATTTATAATTATAAGTATACATATATTCATTTATTTTTTTTCCATTGTTGTACATGTGTATATTTTGTATATTTATAATTAGAATTTTAACAAGTTTATGCAGAGAGGTGTAATTCCTAATTATAATTAATATGATTGTATTTAATAAGATAGATAGATAGATAGATAGATAGATAGATAGATAGATAGATAGATAGATAGATAGATAGATAGATAGATAGATAGATAGATAGATAGATAGATAGATAGATAGATAGATAGATAGATAGATAGATAGATATACATTTATATAATGAGGTTTAATTCATAATTATAGATAAATATTTATTTATTTATTTTAAAATGTACAAATATACTTCGATCTGTGTATGTATAATGTTTTGATTTTCTTGTTAATATAAATATATATATATATTTATTTATTTTTTTTGTGGGGATGCAATAATATTTTTTTATATTATTATTTTATTTATTTATTTATTCATTTATTTATTTTCTTGCAGATGATTTTTGGAACACACAAGCCGCCAACTTTGTCTTTCCATGTGATTTTTGTTTGATTTGAATGCTCATGCCCAGCTCACTAACATCTAGGGCTCTTGTGAGGGGAGGGGGGAGAGGACGACTATAAATGGAAAACTAATAACAGATTTTCAGTCTGCTTTCTCCAAAAAGCTGGCCTCAGGCTGTGTTGGTGTGTGGCTCGGCAGCAATCAGAGGTCATAATTTCATTGGCGGTTAGCATCAGGTTCAATTTTTCTAGTACGTTACATTTACCAGAAAGTCTGGTTTGTGTTACTGTGTGCACTGGCTGAATCAGCTTTGAGCTGTAGAATCATTCAGCCTCTCCAAGAAGTGGAGACCCTGAAGGAGGCACAGACACTCTCATTATCCCACAGCTATCTCTTTGTTCAGGCAGCGGACTCTGGACTAGCAGACCTAACACAGAGAGGCCGTTTCTACCTTCCCGGAGTCTACCGATCCCGTCCCAATTGACTTTACGTACCAGCTGATGTGTATATCAAGAGATCCCCCTAGTGATAGTGGCCAAATGGGTCGGACCCCCAGTCCCCCGATGATGGTGTTTATTTTTATTAAGATTTAGCAGGTGGGGGGTTAAAGTGGTTGAGGGTTGATTTGAGCTTTCGGGAGAGAGCTCAGCCTTCAATTGGGAATTCCACAGTTGTTGACATTATTCACTTCATGGATTCAAGTGGCCAAATCGTAACCAATTTTGCACATTAAAAAAAACATTAATCAAATTGGTATATTTTAATTTCAACCAACTCACCATGTCCATCCTTTGCTTTTGCTTGTTTCCAGGAGTGCGATCAGGTCCACATCGACGACGTGTCGTCGGACGACAACGGGCAAGATCTAAGGTAAAGTTAGCACCATGCTAGCCCTTTCACAGTTCACTATGACTAAAGTCGAGCTCAAAAGCCATTCTCTCTCTCTCCTCTCTGCTCAGTACATATAATTTTAGCACAGACGGATTCCACGCTGCTGCCACTAGTGCCAACCTGTGTCTGGCCACTGGCGTACGAGGAGGTGTGGACTGGATGAGAAAGCTCGCCTTCCGCTACAGACGAGTAAAAGAAATTTACACCACCTATAAAAATAACGTCGGAGGTAATCCCCCAATAAACTGCTTTGCTACAATTGCTGGGGAAGAGGGGTGGTGTGTCAACAAAAGCACTCATAAGTTTCTCAAATAATCCCTTATGCAAAAACCACTTGGTCTGGGTAAATTTCGAAATTTCTCAAAGTATTCGCGGGACGGTCCAACTCAAACAATGTTTCTGTTCATTTCAGGTCTGCTTGGCCCGGCCAAAAGGGAAGCCTGGTTGCAATTGAGAGCAGAAATTGAAGCCCTGACTGACTCCTGGTTAACACTGGCACTGAAAGCACTAACATTAATCCACTCAAGGTAGGCCTTAGCACGAGCAAATTATATAGAGCCCATCTCTGATACGCATAAATCAGTGAGAGGCATAAATACTGGTTGGCTTTATGTCCCAATACCTCAAAGAACACTTACTCTCTGTATTATACAGCATTTTAAGAGGACAACAATTAAAGATCCATTTATCATGGGGCGTTTTGAATGACAAATGGCATGCCTGGATAGCCTTGTCCTCCCTTGTGCACTTTAACTTGACATACTTTGCCATTCAATTACAGATCAAACTGTGTGAACATCTTAGTGACCACAACACAGCTCATACCTGCCCTCGCCAAGGTCCTCCTGTATGGACTGGGAGTAGTATTTCCAATTGAAAACATTTATAGCGCTACGAAAATAGGTAAGTGCGAGCTTAGTATTAACTACCTGTGTGTATGAATGGACTCTATTGGAGTGTGGCCGTAATTACTGTGATATTACGTGTAAACAGCGCGAGACACATGGCGTGTGATTGGGTTAGGCTGCAGAAGTGGCGGACACACGAGAGGGTTGATGTTCAGGAAGAGGTCTAATCAGGCTGGGATTATTTTCTTGGAGATCAGCCTGAACTGGGCCTCTCCTTTTCAGGTCTACATATGAAACCACTTCGGCAAATTTATGTCATTCCACTTTGACATTTTTTTTTCTTCTTTTCGGCCTCTCCACTTTTTCGAATGCAAAATAAACACCAACCTTTACTTTCATACTTTTGTTCGCACAAAGCTCAGCGCCTCCCTCGCTCACATTTGCATGGGAGGTTGATTTAGCTTGTTAAACTCCATTTGTCCCACGTTCTGAGAGGAATAAGGCACACTTAATGCTTTTCAGGCTACTTTTATCTGAGCATCGATCTCATCGTATCTCCAAGCCAAGGCAAAGTGTTTACACTGCGTAATTTTGTGTAACTTATTGTGTATTTAAAGAGCCCCTCTCTGGGCCTGGATCTTGGATGTGGCTTCCTTGCTTTGCGCAGCAACCTAAACCTGCTTCTCCTCTCCCCAGGAAAAGAGAGCTGCTTCGAGAGAGTTATCCAGAGGTTTGGGAGGAAAGTTGTTTATGTGGTGGTGGGGGACGGCGTGGAGGAGGAGACAGGGTCGAAAAAGGTATGAAGACGCCTAGAACTCTATAGCACTTTCCCTTCAAACCTTTCATTTCTTCAGGCATTCCCTGAAAGTGTCATTGGACCAGCGAGAGAATTATTCTCGCATTGTAATCAGCTCATTTCCCCTGACAGCTTGAATGTAAAGGGAGGCAAGATGACATAATTACACGTCCCTGCATGTGACTGCTGTTTCACCTTGTGTAATGCTAGACAAGTCCTCTCAGGCATTTTAGAGGGGCCGGTTCATAAATATAATATGCGTTTAAGGCACTTAAATCATTGTTAGATAAGTCGAGGATATTCTGAAGAATATAAGGACCATCAGAGGAGTGTTGTTTTCCTGTCTCTTGTTGTTCAACCCAGAAGATTTATGTTACCTGCCGCCTGTGTATTCAGAACATCTGCCAAGTTTTCCAAAGCTATAAGCCACAAAACTTGAAATTATTCATTGTGTAATTAATTATCAAAGAAGCTTGTTGTTCAGACAGGCTACAAACAGACGAAAATGTGTTGGTGTGATTATTATATTGAAATTTACAATATGTGGGCCTCATTGTGAAACAGTTTGTTGTGTCTGCAAAAAGATGTGTACAGATGTTTTTGACATTTATTATTTGATTGTGTTTAAATTAATAAAAACTGATTTGTGAACTGTTACACACATTTTTCCAAGTGATTGAAATGGTGGCTCTGCAATCTTCTGCCATGGGGTTTGTATTTATTGACTGTTTGCTCCTGCAATCAAATGCCTCCAAAATGAAGTGTTTCGGAATAGCGGTTTTCTGCAAATGATGAATGTCCAGAGATCATTATATTAACATTTTACATATACACACGCAAAGAAGGACACTTTATAAAAGTCCCATTTTATGGGATGGGAATGTAGATTATGTGTGGTTTCTTCGTTTCTTCTCGTCGTTTGGTGGTCTGCAATTCAGCATTTCCCCCTCTGACAGATTCTCAGACAACACGTCATGTATGGCACTTTTGTTTAAAGCATCATAACTGATGTAATGCCATATAAAGCTCTCCGTCCCTCTCATTTCTGTGGAAAGCAACTGTTAAAACAATATGTGGGATTTCAAAGTGTACATTAAAAATCAAAGCGTTCAGTTCATTTAGGAGGCTTGCTTCCACACAATATGATCTACAGACACCGTCTAAATTTATCACACATTGACAGAAAAGTTTCCTTTTGTCATGACGAGTCTGATCACATTCTTATAAAGACAGAAGGAAGCTTTGATTTTCTGCTTCAGCCAGAATTTCTGGATTCAGATGAGGGGAATGAGCCATAATCATGCTACGTAGGCACCGCAGATTTGTCAGTCAGGCGGTTTGTGTATCTTGGGGATAGTTGAAGGTGAAACCCTCACCTAATTGTGATTTTTCTTTGCAGCACAGCCAAATGCTTCCAATAACAGCTCCTCTCCACAAATGTTTCCCTGTGTTTTTCGAAAAAACACGCCGCGCGGCCACTTGCAGTTGGGAGTTGAGTTGGTTTATATAACACATGAAAAATATTTATGAGGCTGATTTCATGAGGTGGCCAAAATGAAGATGTAACGAGAGACTGGCAGAGGAATAGAGAGGCGTTCCTGCGAGTGTTCAGAAGAATTAAACATTCATGGAATCTTATTTTACACTGTTCTGTTCTTCAGTATTGAAGTCAATTATGTTTTCAGATGGCATCTAAGCAATATGCCAGAGGACTTGAAGGCTGCCAGGAAGGGCAGATAGTGCTGTTATCCTTGGAATGCCAAAAAAAAAAAAAAAGTATTTTCCCACTTCTCAGCAAATGAAAGCCAAAATACTGTCTGAGGCTCATTTACCACACTGGGACAGAATTGGGTTTGTTCCCTTTGATATACAATGGGGTCCAAAATACCCCAAGAAACCACAGTGGAAAAACTGCAATTTTAACCTCGACATAAACAGTAGTAGCATTTTTAATACAAAACACAAAGCATAATTTGTAATAGAAGCATTTTCATTCTTTTTTTTCATTTATTTGTTTGTTTAATAATAATATAATAATAATAATAGTAGTAGCAGTAGTGGTGAAATTAAAAGAATTGATAAAATATATAATATATAATATATAATATAATAACATATATATATTAATAATTATAATATCATTATTAATATTAATAGATAATCATATTATTAAAACATCTAATTTAAAAAAGTGGTTCCTTCACAAATTTACGCAGCTTCAATTTAGTTATTTTATTCTCATAGATTAATCATACATGTACAAGTAATGTATTACATTTTGTGTTTCAGCCACCCCTAATATATATATATATATATACATATTCCAGTAATGCCTTGACAAACAGCACTAGAGTGATTTACTGCCTTAGCCCAGACACCGATTTCATGCAGATTCATACAGAAAGAACCACTCCTGGTGTATCGAAAGTGAACTAATATTGTATTACATACATATCAAACATTAAAAACTCGTTCCGCATGAGTTATTTTACAACCAGAGGGTCTATTAAAAGGCCCTTGTTCCCCACAGATGCGGTAGCTAATGTGTTTCAAGCTGAGGAAGTTCACTCTGTCTTTTCACTGCTGACAAGAGAGAGAGCGAGAGGCTCTAATAAAGGACTTGAATTCATATTCCTCCCACTTTACTCCAACAGTAACATTATGAATCTGCATAAGTCAGTGGTGCCTGTCATTTTACTGCCATCGTCTTTAATTATGATGTTTGCCTCTGGGAGAAGAAAAACATATTTGAAGTTATTGTTGCCTCTTTTCATGGTGGGTTTTAGACAGGCCGATTTACTGCTCAGAGTAAAGACTTACTTAAATTCTCCCAGGGAGTGAATGACCTGCCATTACAGCTGTAGGTATCGCTGCTATACTGGGCCTTTTGGTTCGTTTTGTTTTTTGTTTTGTTTAGTTTTTTCATGAGGGGTGAAAAAGGTGAGATAGTTACAGATCCAATAACTTTTATAAGATAATTTAATCATTTAAAGGTGAACACTGCAAAAATGCTTTTCTAGCTTAGATTTTTTTTTTGTCTTGTTTCCAGCTAAAATATCTAAAGATTCTTAAATCAAGAAGGATTTTCTAGACCAGTAATAATTATTGTCTTGTTTTCAGAAAAGACAAGTCAAAATTAAGTGAGTTTTTGCTTGAAACAAGCAAAATAATCTGCCAATGGGGTAAGCAACATAATCTTATTTCAAACAGAAAACATACAAAAAAATATACAAAAAATCCTAATACAAAAAAATCTAAGCTAGAAAAGCATTTTTTGCAGTGTACTCAGTTAGTTTCACTGGCTCTTATTCATTTATCATTACAAAAGCTTGATTAAAGGAATATGAGGCCAGAGTGAAAGATATTGAATTATCCCACTGCTTCTCCTTTTGACCTACCTGAGCTCTTATTTATGACATATTCCACATGTCTAGAATTCTCAACTCACTTATGTGGGTTTACCATAAGCAGCCACTTCTTGTATAAAGTTTATTTAGGTACAGGTTTTATTACAGAGGTGGGGGGGGGGGGGTTCTAGATGTGGGCATTACAGAAGGTCATGTGATGTGGTCACAACCTGATTAGACAACTTTTATGATATTTATTTTGAGAACTTACCTAACACCTAATACAATGCTGTGTGCTGGGCTTAATGTGCTCATTATATGTCAGTACACGGTGATATTTTTACCAGCTGAAAACTCACCAAGAGCTTATAAAATGTGTAAAGGAGTCAAAACAGCACCAGGAATTCCTCCGTTCGAGATCTGCTGTAAGATCTACAGTAACAAACTGTAATGGGCAACATAGCTATTATGATGAGAAGAACCAGGTACACTCTAAAAAATAAAGGTGCTTCATGATGCCATAGAAGAACCTTTTTGTCTAAATGGTTCCATAAAGAACCTTTAACATCTGAAGAACCTTTCTGTTTCACAAAAGGTTCTTTGTGGTGAAAAAAGGTTCTTCAGATTATAAAAAGGTAAGAAAGAGATGGTTCTTTAAAGAACCTTTGACTGAATGGTTCTTTGTGGAAACAAAAATGGTTCTTCTATGGCATCGCTTGAAGAACCTTTTGAAGCACCGTTATTTTTAAGAGTGTATGCTAGAGCATTTTGTCCTTTTTAGAGTCACATCTTCTGATATCACATCCTATTTTTGGTTTGTTTAGATGTCTTTGGTCCCTGTTGCGTTCATCAGCCAAACCACACCAGAGTTCATTTGGAAGAGGACAGAGACCACTTAAAAGTTGGGTCTCAGTCCGCTTGTTTGGTGCGAAACAAGGTTTAGATGACAGCGTTCACACTTGTTTAAATTAACCACATAAACGGGAACAATCGCACCAGAGTTTGTTTTAGTCAAACCAAACCTGCCAAGTGTAAACATGCCCTTTTGAAACAGCAGCCTATGATGCCTACAGAAGAAGCTCACTAGGTTTTGGAACAGAGCAAGTATCATGAAGAGGTCATTCCATTTTTACGCCAAACCGAGTGTTCAGAAGCCTTGCCTTTAACTCCTGTTTACAGTCTATGAGGACCTTGGCTCCAATCTATTAATCAATCACATTATACCACATAGATTTTTTTGAGTTATGTGCAATTGATGAAATCGGACTTGTTAAAGTGTCTCTCCACTTGGCTCAATGAACGTATCTTTGATTTATTAAAAATTCTAAGAGGATGTTCTTCAGTGCGACACCAAAGCAGTGCCTTGTGAGACGTGTCCTCCAAACCCTCCGTTGTGTAAACATCGCAGCCTATCACAGGGGCCGGTGCTGGTTTTATAGCAGCAGAGGGTTGGCCCTAGTCATTAAGCTGGGAGTTGTTAGTCATATTTGCGAGAGAGCTCAACATTGGCTTTCCGTTCTCTCGTTCGTAACCTCCACCTGCACTTGCGGTCAAACTGCATGCTCAGTGCTCTTTTGTAGGCCCACCAAGCAGTGAGTGGCAGTGAGTTATATGGACGGCTCAGGGCTCGTTTTGGCAGTGCAGTGCCAATGACTCTGGC